CTTGGGGGTAGGGGGAGTGGCAGAGTGAGCGACATTACTGGAATAGGGAGTAAGAGAAAAACCTCGTCGACGTGCTTCCTGTCTGGCTTCACGTAGAGTGAGTCCAAGTCTGAATCTGAGAATTGCCACCACAGACTCAAATTTGTAGGTGGGGCAGCCCCTATAAAATACATTATGGGGGCCGCCACAATTGGCACATGTGCGTGATTGTGCAGAGCAGTTTGATCGAGTATGGCCAGGTTGAGCACATAGCGGGCATCTGGCTGTGGAACGGCAATGTTTGGCTGGGTGTCCTAAACGCCAACAATTTTGGCATTAACGAGGAGGAGGTTGATATGGTCGACAGGGAGGGATTCTCCACCGATGTAAACATTAAAGGGAAGGTCGTGTCTACGGAAAGTAATTTTGGCAATGTTAGTGAGGTTCTTACGATGACCTCTGAGAGGAATGGAGTAGCATTGTACTGATACCGCATCATAGTCCGTGAGACAGGCGAGTAAGTCTTTTTTTGTTATAGATTGGGCAATTGCTGGAGAGATAGAAACAGTTCCGGTGCAAGTATTGAGGGTTGGATGGGGTTACCATATAGATCAGTTAAATTTGATAATGCTATAGCTTGGTTTTCAGATATTACTGTGACGAGACGGGAACGATCGGGTCGGCTACGGAAAGAGACTTTGCCTACTTGTTTTTGGAGACATTGCTGGAAGAGAAGGGTGTTGTCAGAGTAGGGAGCTGTGGGAGGGATCACGAAAAATCGGTCCCATTTGGCTGGGCTAAATAGAGTATTTAAGAATTTTGTAGAGATGGGGGTAGTAGAAGGACGGGGGCGTTTCGAAGAGGGAGTAGTGTTGAGGGATGTAGTATTATGGAGAGGTGGGCAATTAGGCTGTAAAGTAGTAATGAGGGAGGATGGGATAGTTGATGATGGAGGTTGTGGGGTAGAGGTGTTGAAGAGGAGCATGTTGGGAGAGTAGAAATGTCTCCTGGGGGTTGAGTGTTGACTAGGGTGGATACTGTACTTGTAGGCATTGAGGTGGGGGTAGTAGTTCTAGTGTTCGGAGCCGTGGTCAAACGAGAGCCTGGGGTTAGGGAATCGGGAGTTTGAATTGTTGGGGCTATTTGATGAAGGGGCAAACCTCATTGCGCCTAATAATGGAATAACATCTTCATTGTTGGCCATGGTAAGCCTGGAGTATGTTGGGGAGAGAAACAGTCCACCCCTCTGGGTCCCCTTGAAGGGTAAGGGCTAGGCAACTAAGCAGGGGCATACCGTGCCCATGGCTCTCTCAGGCCGTTCAGAACGGACACAAAGTCAGCCTTTCATCCTTTCAGCACGGCTCTCACACCTTAGGAGGTGGATAGTAGAAGGGATTGGTGAAGGGACAGAAACGAAAAAGTAGGAGGGGAAAAAAGACCATGCAAAATTAGTTGAGTCGAGGGCTGAGTCCCCAGGTTGGGGAGTTCCCCATCATTGAGTCCCAGTCTTCGCCCTTAAGCCCCCCCACGACAACAACGGGCAAGGGATTGGGGGGTAAGATGGGTGTGGCAAATACATTCTGAAGAAATGTTTTTTTTCATGAACATTAGTAAAGCATCTGAGGTAATTATAGCAATGCTGACCTTTTTCTTCTCTGTTTCTCTCTGATATCGCATTTCTTTCATCAAAGAGAAAGATCATTACCTTTCCTTGTTAAAATAAGGGTACTGAAACAAAGACACAAGACAATAACGTTCATTGTTAGACATTGGATTATAGCATTACATTAATATCACAAAATATATAGATATATGTGAATATGTCTGCCAGTACCTGCATCTTCCTCTGAGACGCGGGACTGGTTGCTGGAAGCTTGAACTGTACCCTGCCCAAAGAATTCTTTCGAAAAAAAAGGATAAATACTTTGAGTAGAAAATTAAAATGCATAATTTTAAAGAAATAATGATTATTATGCCAGTCTCTTCCTCACATTCAAAGTTTTGTATTACGTTTACAGTGTGTGTGTATGTGTGTGTATGTGTGTGTATGTGTGTGTATGTGTGTGTGTGTGTGTGTGTGTGTGTGTGTGTGTGTGTGTGTGTGTGTGTGTGTGTGTGTGTGTGTGTGTGTGTGTGTGTGTGTGTGTTATCTCAAAAAATGTAAATTGTGGTGTAAAACAATCATACAAGTTTCGTTTTCCTTTTTTCTAAATTTCTCGTGTCCAGTACAACTTCTCTTCGTGCTTCATTCTTCACGTGAAAGGACAAGTTATGGAAGTACACCAAAAAACAAATCCTTAACATACGAAAAAATAATAATAGCGATAAGAAAAAAAATATAACAAATATTCACAATTAATTTACATTAGCATTACCACAGACATGAAAAAGAATGTTATTTCAAAAGTACACATTAAGGGAAAATGATGCTAACATACATGCCCATCTCATGACACATCTATAAGAAGTATAAAAAAAAGTTATACTTAGGTTTGAATTCACTCCAAACTTGTCAGTTTTGTGCTAGTATAAAAGCTGCCTTTACAAAGGTAAGGCAGTTAACAAAGGAGTAAAATAAAACGTCTGGTACCAAAAAAAAGAAGAGGATGAACATGAAAATAGTGATTATATATACATATACTTTATATATATATATATATATATATATATATATATATATATATATATATATATATTGTAATGTTTTCTGGTCTTGTTAAACACGCCAGGGATTCTTTAAAGCAGAATATTACACACACACACTCGTATATCTGAATGACATGGGACCTTTGCTCTCTTAGGGAATATCTCCTCTTCAACTTTCCCTCAATATAAACTTAGGTGAGAAAGGTCCTTGCTGCACTTAGTGTACGTGTTTGCATGCTGGCTAATTTTTCTTTCTTGATTGCGTGTGACAACTCTTGTGCCTTTTGGTTCCACGTGATTTCGCTTTACCTTTTACACGAAAACATTTCACTGATTTCACGTAAACTTATTTGCGTTAAAAGGGGCAATAATAATTAAAAAAAAATCTTGCAATATATATCTCCAGACAAAGATGCCTTTATGAATACTGTTTTATCTCTGAGATCTTAATGAACACAATCACTCAACTTAATAAGCCACTTTTTTCGCCAAGGAAAGAAGGGAAGGGAGAAAAAAATGAAAGAAACAAAAAGAAAGAAAGAAAAAAAAGAAAGAAAGAAAAAAAAAACGATTAATAGTGATCGTTTTTTTTAGGAAAGGGGGAAAGGGTTAGGTACAATACATAATAAAACATATATAAGCTGGTCCCTTTAACAACATATCTGGATCTGGTTAAATTAACAAAACGCATGTTGAAATGTAACGAAAAAGATATATATGACATTTTCTTACCCCCCAACAATAGAAAAAACCTAACCTATATCTATATATATATAATCTTGTTGGCTGTTTCACATTACCCTAGAAAAAAAAAACACCTAACGATGTTTACCACTAAGATTGTAACAATATACAACGGCAGTGGAAACAAGGCGAAAATACTGTTTACGCTCGTTATGCAAGAACAAGTGTTGCAACTTTCGCTAGTTCCAGAAGTCTGTAATCGATTCTGTCAACAAGTCGCCTATTTAGCGGCTTTCTTAGCACAATTCAGCGCCTTCCGCCAAGGAGTTGCGAATTTAACGTTTTCTGCCAGCCAGTCGGCTTAGCGCTTTCTGTAAAGATGTCGCAAATTCAGCGCTTTCTGTCAAGGAGACGCGGATTTTACGTATTCTGTCAACCATCCAGGATTTCAAAGTAAACAACGGAGTGGTTAAAAGGCTGGTACCTGGCTCGCCTACAGTTCCGCGGCGCTGCCAGCTCGTTGGGGACAGGATCGGCCTCAGCCTTACGCTTCATGCAGTGAAGAGTAGGAGAGAAAGACAGGGAGGGAGAGGGGGAGAGGGAGAGAACGATTGGGAGGGAGGGGGAGAGAAAGATAGGGAGGGAGGGAGGGAGGGAGGAAGGGTGAGCGAGAGGTTGAGGGAGGGAGAGAGAATGTAAACTGACATACGAAGACTATAATTTACGTAAACACAGACGTAAATCTTCCTAAAGTTCCCTCCAGGTACTCTCGCCGCCATCCCAACTACAGCACCAGTATGGGGAAAAAAAGAGAGAGAAACAAAGAGCCTCTTTTTAAGTCTAACAAAGTTATAAATATTCCTTCAAGATTTCTTTAAAACTTAGAACGTGTATAGGCCTAGACGCAGGTATTTAAACAATATAACAGTTTCTCCCACCTACTTTCATGGTTTCCCTAAGAATTAACGATCAAACTGAGGAACGCGTCCACAAAAACACACACACACCCACACACGGCATAACATTTACTTTTTTAAGGTAAACGAAACCAACGAAGGATCTCATTTTGCCTGGGGGAATTCCCTTCAACGTTCCTAAGGAGACCAATAAATGCAAGACCACTTCTTGAAGACACAAATGCATAAGAAATCGATTCAAAACATGAAGACAATCCTTTCTATCACCGTAGCCTCCCCCCCTCACCCCACCCCCACCCGAGTCCATTCATACACCTATACGTATTAAATGCAAAATAATCACTCATACTTGATAAATAAAGCTTTATGGCATCTCTTCAAGCCAACGTAAATAAGGACTGTGGCGTGTGTGTCCATCTGCCTCTCCGCGCCGACGACACAAACCCAAAGGATAGATGCTACTTAGAGGACCAGGGCATTGGAGAGGACACCCGGAAGAATTTTCAGAATAGATAGATATACAATTGGATAGATAAATGGATAGAGAGATAGATAGAGATAGCGAGAGAGAGAGAGGGGGGAGGAGGAAGAGACTCGGGCGGTCGGAAGAATGTTTCTAATGCCTAATACTGATATTCGCTCGTGTATTCAAAACTGATACTGACTGTTCTTCCCGACACTTACTAATATAAGTTGTATTGTGACCAAGGTTTGTGTCTGTAATACGCCACTTTATATAACAAACGTCAGTATCAGAGAGAGAGAGAGAGAGAG